TTCCTTTCCTGATTTGCAATGGGTTCTGATTGGCTCTCGCGACATTGATACATACGGATCAAGGCCTCTGGGCGAGGATCTCAAAATTTCAAAATCTGAACTCTCTTCCAGAGAGGCTATCCCACCTCTGAAACCTTTCTCAGGATGGTCGTGTGATGGCTGACTTATAGGTCTTGTGGAACACGCTCAAACTTACCACCCTGCACTGACGTTTCTTCAATGCTCCTGCATCTGTTGAAGGATGGTAGCTTATTTTTGCTTTCAGCAATCGTTGCTGAAGAGACTCATCAAACGGTACGTCTCTTTCTGATGAGAACTTTCTTTAATCAGGCACCACAGTCTGTTTATTCCCTTGACCACCGTCACGGAAGCCCAAGAAGATGGCTTTCTTGGCTCTGGGCATCCAACTTAGATTCTGTAACATTGAAAAATATTGCTGGACATCCAAAAGATACGTAACTGATTTCATAATCAGTAACTGGGACTCCTGGACCATACCTCCATGGGAGTCTTCCCATCTAATGCAAATATGCGAGTAGGGTAGTCTGTTGACAAGATGACGAGCATTAGTTCAATGCCTCGCCCCAAAATGCCTTGCTCAATCCCAGACTGTGACAGGCATACACCGGGACTTTCTCCACCAAAAGTGCGGTTCATTGCTTTCTGCAATCCATTCTGCTGCGGTGTTCCAGGGGAACTGTGAAATGTCTCACTTATTCCCTGCATTCTTAGCAACCTCCAAAAGAAGGACTTCTTTGATGTAATTCTCCACCATTGATCAGATCTGAGCTTCTTGATTCTTGTCTGCCGTCTGGGTCTCAATCATCTTCTTTCCACGTAAGAAAGAATGTCTAAGACTTCATCTTTGTTGTTTCATTGTATAAATCCCAAACTCTTTCTAGAGGAAACATCAGATGAACGACACAAAGTAGGTGTTTACCTTCCCAACGAAAGCAGGTCTTGGAAGGACCCATTTACGTCGGGAGATGTGGACGTAGGCTAGATCCCTTTGGTACGGTTGAATTGCAGTCCACCAAACTTGATTCTTGTTTGCTTGCCCAATACACAATGCTCGCAGAAACTCAAGCTTTCCCGTCTTGGCCGAACCTTTTCAACAGGGCTTGCTTTTACCAACCCTTTGGTAAAGCCCTTCTCACCGGCAGGCCCTAGCGCATGTGCCAAAGTTTGGAAATGGTCTGATTGCATCATCTTCTGAGCTGGGTGGGCAGACAGCCACTCTTCCTGTGACTGTAAGAGCCATCAGGGAAATATAAATTTCCTTTTTTTGTCGAGTTACCCTTCATTGCAACCAATGCTCCTCGCAACAACTAAGACCCACCTTCCATTGGTTATCTGTTAACCTTTGGAGTCTAAAACTCCCACTTGGAGATGGAGATTCTTGGTCAGATCTGGTACATTACCGTACATCTTCAAGAATTTTCTGATTGTTCCATCAGGTGGATCTTCCAGTTTAATTGTTCCAATCCCCTTTTGTCTGCAAGCTTGGTCTTGCCCATCAGCATAACCCTCCATCGAACTCTCGTAACTCGAGAAACCACTGCTTGTTTAGGGACACATATGGAATGAACATCCGGAATCTATTACACATTCATTCACTTGGGCCATATGATTGAAACTGTGAAGGCTCCCTTATCATTATCTACCATCTCGTGCCATATTCCACCTTCTCTTCTGTCTGTCTGGTATTTTGGACAATCTTTTTGCCCAATGTCCCTTCTTCGCGACCAGCGCACACTCGTCTTTTGCAAGACGTCTTTTGTCTGAAAAGGTCCCCCTAGATTTGAGCGAGACTTTCCTCGCCTTGTATTTCTTTGTTATTGTTCTGCCTCTGACTGTTAATGCTTCGGATGTTGAGTCCTGTTTGCAGACTTATCTTTCCTTCTGAACTCATTGTTCACCAAGGCGTTTGCAACATCAATATACTTGATCTCTCTTTACCGTACAGTAAAGTAGTAGTGAGATGATTTACGAGTCAGGCAAGGAATTTAACATAACAGTGCTTTGTCTTCATCACCAACGTATCATCCAAATTCTTCAAATCCGTAATAATTTTGTTGAAATTATTTAGGTGTTCGTTCATAAAATACCTTAATGTAGTCGAAACGAAACACATCTTCTCAAGTAGAGCCAGTTCTCAATGCTCTTTGCTGAACTTATCTTCCAGCGCCTTCCAAAGCTTCTTTCGCAATATCATATTCTGTAAAGCATACTTTCTCCTCTTTGCAAGGCAAGTCGATGGAACTGCAGGCCAGGAGATTCACCCTCTCCATTCTATCTCGTCCAGGTCATCTGGTTTGTTCTTCCAGAGTGAAGTGCAGGTTCATTTGGACAAGCATATCTTAACTTCGCATCTCCACATGCCGAAGTTTCTGCTTCATCGAACTCTCTACCTCGAACTTGGCATGGACATCGAAGTCCAATGCTAGAAGTGCTTGTACTGGCTGAATTACTTACGGACTCGTTGATCTAGATTCTGCCATTTTTTAGAAACTTCAATTCAAAAAACTGACCGTACAGATGTGCCGGAATACTCCAAATAGTTGGAAGCACTATTGGATCGTAAAAACGGATTCCGAATGGCTCCGATCTGGCAAAACACTTTTAACGGTTCAGATATCGGAGAATTTTGTGCGCCTGCGAAGCACAAAGATCACTCCTCCGGTTCTGCTGATGTCAGGCTGACGCCCGGTCAGTCAGCGGCTCGGTCAGCGGCATCGGTCAGCGGCTCCGGCTCGGTCAACGCGGCTCCGGTCGGGCGGCTTGGTGCGCCGTGTGCGGCGCGTGTCGCGCGTGAACTCACGCGTCTTCTTCCTTCGTCCGCGCGTGGAGCGCGTGGTGAGACTGGACACGCGCCGGGAGCCTGAACGGCGCGTGTGGGCACGTGATGAGACTGGGAGTCACGCGCAAACTTCTAGAGGCGCGTGAGGGCGCGTGGAAGCTCCTCTGGGCTCTGTTTTTGCGTTCTGGCTGTTTTGGACTCCTCTCGGGGAGTTCTTCCTCCTGGTATGGTCAAAAGTGGATTTTGAGTACTTCGAAATCTGGGCACTTTCGGGAAAAATTCAATTTTTCGCAACCCGAGCTCTGATACCAATTGTTGCTGATCGGGGGCACACCAGGGAACTCAAACAAGCAATAACACACAAGATTTAACGTGGTTCGGCAAGTCGCCTACGTCCACGGGCAGCGAATTCACTATATTGAACAAAATGGTAAGAATTACAATTCTCTCTGTAATTCTCTCTCTCTCTTTGCTCTCTAAGCTCACACCTCTCAGCTGTACTTCTCAACTCTCCTTAGCTTCTCTATATATAGAGATTACAATGCAAGATTAATTGAGCTGGCTGCCAGCCCATTTCGGTGGCTTTCCAGATTGAGGCTTCATGGCCTCATGGCCTCATGGCCAACTCACATGGCCTCATGGCTTCCCCACCATGTAGCTGGCTGCTACTTTCCTTCACATGGCCAGAATCTGTAGCCAACTCAACACAGGGCACTAACAAGACTATGATAAAGGGAAGGCCGAAAGAAGGGCAAATCCTCAGTAGAAGCAGTAGACTTGAGAGGCATAGGAGATGGGGTAGATTTGCAATTTGTCATACTAGCTTTGGCCAAAATCTTAGTAGCATACTTCTTCTGAGACATGAAATAGCCTGAGGCAGAGGAGGTAACAGATATACCCAAAAAATAGTCAAGAAGACCCAATTCCTTCATGGAAAAACTAGAGTGCTTCTGAGTGATAAGGGTGGAAATATAAGAAGGATCACTGCTTGTGAGAAGAATATCATCAACATATATTAAGAGAATAGTGATGGCGGTAGAAGTCTTCTTAACAAATAAGGATGAATTACAATGACTAGCCTAGAAGCCTTGCTTGAGAAGAAATGTAGAAAAAGTAGAGAACCAAGCTCCGGGAGCTTGCTTGAGCCCATAAAGAGTTTTGTGCAAATTGCAAACCATGGATAGATGCTCCTTATCAACAAAACCAAGAGGTTGATGCATATAAAAGCATTGAAGATATCAAGTTGTTTGATGGACCAGTTGAAGTGAAGAGCTAAACATAAGAGAAGTCTAACAGTAGGTTGCTTTGCTGCTAGACTAAAGGTCTCAAAATAATCAATACCTTCAGTTTGGAGAAATCCTTTGGCAACCAATTTGGCTTTGTACAAAACAATTGTATCATCTGAATTTTTCTTGAGACAAAAAACCCATTTGCAACCAATAGCTTTTGGTAGAAGGAAGAGGGACCAAAACCCAAGTTCCTTGTCGCATTAAAGATGTGTATTCATCAACCATGGCAACAGTCTAGGTAACTGATTGAGCAGCTTCTTGATAAGATTGAGGCTCAACCAGATCAGAAGAAGGAAGATTAGTAAAAGTGAGGAAATAAGTAGGATGATGAGATTTAGACCAAGTAACCATGGGGTGAGTATTAGTAGAAAAGATAAAGTGAGAGGCAGATGAGAGAGTAGGAAAATGAATAAAAATATAAGAAATAGGGATCTGAGAAGATGGAGAAGAAGAAATATAAGGAGAAGAAGGGACAGCAGAAACTGGTAAAGCTGCTGTGTGTGAAACAGACTGAACTAGAGGCAAAGCAGCAGTCGAAACTGCAGACTGATGAGCAAGTTGAGTTAGATGGTGAGTAGTAAGCTGAGCTACAGGCAGAACAGATACTGCAAATGGGTTAGCATGCTAAGAAGCATAAAGAAAAACTAAATCTACAGAAGATATTATTCAATCAATCACAATTATAGAGTTTGTACTTTATTTATATAAAAGGATGCCATGATTACAACTAACCAAACCAATCTAACCCTAGTTATAACTAAGCTCTCTTCTTGACTTTGACTCAGCTCTTTTTTGTTAGCTTTGGCTCAACTCCTTATCAACTTTTGTTTCTCCATGAGAGGAATGGGTTCGATTATCACTGATAAGACTCGATTCTTTGCTTGAGAATCTGGAGATCCATGCCCATCTCCGTGTTGATACGTGCATTGGGAAATCCGAGCAAGGTTAATAGTGGTTTCAACAAATGATTTCTCAAATGGAGAATCAATTACTCGATCTTTGTTCATCTTCTTCCATGTTTCATCAATCAAATTGCTTGTATGCTTCCGAGCAACTTGTTCAGAAACTCCATTCTCCTTCATATAACACAAGATTGAATTTGCCGATTCACCTCTCTCCAACTCGGCCTATCACATAGACAAACAAGAATGTTAATGTTAAGTAACTAACGATGGAATTTTGTGTTAACTCTCTTTTGTAATTACAGTGCTGACCCTTAAGGTCGTTTAAAAGTTCGCCTAATGTCCTCAGTTATTTCAACCAAAAAAAAAAAAAAATAGTCTGATATCTTGAATGTTAAAACATGGTAAAAACAGCCTTAATTACAAGAATTGACATGTAAGAAAATGAAATTTAAATAAAATAATTTTAGTTCAAAAATATAAAATCATTTTAAAATTTTGCCTGTGGTCCCAAAAATTATTGGGTTTCATCTCAATACATTCTTTATTGCACGATATGGTAAGAATCTCAAGTATGAAAATTTTGAGATACAATTGTGCCACTGAAGTGCATTAACACAGAGGCATAGAAATTTGGGTATAGAAGATCATTGCCCGAAACTAACAATGAAACTACCTTTTTGTAATACCATTCAAGTAGATCTCATTTGCATACCTTGGAAGTACCCAAATCATTGGTTAGTCTGAAAATAATGGATGAACATTCCAAAAGACTATGGTATGCCTGTAAGCTATCCAGTGCCTCTTTTGTAATAGTTTTAGTCATCAAAAAATAGGCATGAACTAGTATTACAGCCCCTGATACTGAACGCCATGCGTTATCAAGGTATGCCTCGAATGTTGGAGTTTCTTTGTTGAAACACCATTTTGCTTCCACCAAGAATGCTTTGCATAAATCTGCCCACTGTGACACACAAAGGTAACAATAATATATATATATTTGAAGTAAAGTAATATAAACATAAAAATTGTATAGAATGTTAATACAAGATGATGTAGCAAATCTTAATCATATTACTTAAGAGAAAAGGAAAATGCTAGTGCACTTTTCTGAGTAATTTTTTAAATACTTTTTCAGAATATTCTTGTTGTGTTCCTAGTATTATTGTAAAGAAAAAGATTAGGACGACTTAATGTTCAAAACAAAAATGACAATCAGATCAACTTTCAATATAAAACCAACACATGTTAAAGCTCCTCATTGGGAGCTACTTTCAATGGGCTCCATCAGTACCTAGTCAATACCTAATCAAGTACTCTTACATGGAATGTGTTGGTTTTAAATCGAAAGTTAACTTGCATAGCATTTTATGTTTTTTAAAAATGTCACTGAAATATCATTTTAACAATTAATTTCTCTATAAAAATTCTTTAAGAATACTTTATTTTATTTTATGTAACATGTAGATTTTCAAACCTAAAGTTTAATGCCCGATTAGTGATGAAAGGTAAAGTAAACTAAGATACCTTTTTCAATTAAACTAAGAGATTACAAGTCATGTTTATATATCAGTACAGGTAACAAACTAACAAACTATTAACCTAACCACACTTCTAACTAACCACACATCATGTAACTATGTAACTAACTAAAGCTGTTACAAACTAACTCAAACAGTTAACAGCAGATTACATTACACTGAATGAACCTCATCTTGGACCTCTTGGACCTCTTGCTTATCAGGCCCCCGCAAGCTGAGAGGGGGAAGACCAACACGAAGCTTGGAAGTGAGAAAAGAAAATCTGGCAGGGGACAGAGATTTGGTGAAGATGTCAGCCAATTGATCCAAAGAAGGAACATATTTGAGACAGAATTGGTGACGAGCAACCTTTTCACGAATGAAATGACAATCCACTTCAATGTGTTTAGAGCGGCTGTGAAAGACCGGATTAGCAGCCAAGGACAAGGCAGACATGTTGTCACACCAAAGAACAGGTGGAGATGGTTGAGGAATGTGAAAATCAGCAAGAAGCATTTGCAACCAAGTGAGTTCTGCAGCAGTGTGTGCTAAGGACCGATATTCAGCCTCGGTGGAGGAGCGAGACACAGTGGACTGTTTCTTGGAGGACCAAGAGATGAGATTAGAACCCAAGAACACACAGTAACCAGAGGTGGAATGTCTGTCAGTGGCATCCCCAGCCCAATTAGAGTCAGAGTAGGCTGTGAGATTAAAAGAACTAGGAGCAAAGAGAAGACCATGAGAAATGGAGCCTTTAATGTATCGTAAGATACGTTTCACAGCAGAGAAATGGACCACAGTAGGGGCATGCATATGTTGGCAGGCTTGGTTGACAGCATAAGAGAGCTCAGGACGAGTGATAGTAAGATACTGAAGGGCACCCACAAGGCTGCGATAGAGAAAAGGTTGGGAGAATGGGAGAGAATCAGCAGCAGTAAGAGAAGGTTTAGCTGATGAAGGAGTAGCACAAGGCTTGCAGGTTGTCATGCCAGCTTTAAGAAGAAGCTCCAAGGCATATTTCTGCTGGGAGAGAAAGAAGCCTTGAGCAGTGGACTGAACAGAAATACCTAAGAAATAGGAAATATCCCCTAATTCTTTCATGGAAAAAACATTGTGCATTTGAGTTAATAAGGAATGAAGGTAGGATGAATCAGAACCAGTAAGAAGAATGTCATCGACATATAGAAGAAGAAAGGTAATGGAAGAAGAGGTAGAATGAATGAAGAGAGAAGAAGCACAACGACTCTGAAGAAAACCTTTAGAGAGAAGAAAGGAGGAGAAAGTAGAATACCAGGCTCGAGGAGCCTGTTTCAAACCATAAAGAGCCTTGTGAAGTTTGCAAACAAGGGTAGGCTGAGAAGGATCCACAAAACCAGGAGGCTGTTCCATGTATACATCTTCATCCAACTTGCCATGTAAAAAGGCATTAGATATGTCAAGTTGTTTTAGAGGCCAATGATGATGAAGAGCTAAAGAGATAAAAATGCGAATTGTGGGTTGCTTGGCCACAGGGCTAAAGGTATCATGAAAGTCAATACCATGTTGCTGATGAAAACCCTTAGCGACAAGTCGGGCTTTGTGCCGAGCAACTGAGCCATCAGAATTCTTTTTAACTTTGAAGACCCATTTACACCCTATAGCTTGCTTAGAAGGGGGTAGAGAAACAAGAGACCATGTGCCTTGATGTTGAAGAGCAGCATATTCATCAAACATGGCTTGGAGCCAGACTGGAGAGTCAAGAGCAGATTGATAAGAGAGGGGCTCAATATCAGGAGAAGGAGAGGAGCCAGCAGGAGAAGTGAGAATAGAAGAGAAACAAGTAGAATGAGATTTGGATCGGGTTTGCATATGATGAGAATTGAGAGTAGCAGGAGGAGGAAGAGGTAAAACAACAGAAATAGAATTAATAGGAATAGATGGAGGAGAAGGATCAAAAGGAGACAAGGCAGAGGAAGGCTGTGCAGATATAGGCTGTGCAAATTGGGCAGGAGGAGCCAGATCAGAAGACTGGGGTTGTGAAGATGACTGTGGTTGGACAAATGAAGATGCTGGCTGGGAAGAGCACTGCGCCTGGACAGATGTAGACTGTGGCTGTGTAGATATAGGCTAGCGAAGGTGGAGTCTTTGGATTTTAAGTTGACAGTTGCGGTGTAATGTGATGAAAGGTAAAGTAAAACTAAGATACCTTTTATTCAATATAGCTAAGAGATTACAAGTCATGTTTATATATCAGTACAGGTAACAAACTAACAAACTATTAACCTAACCACACTTATTCCCACAATAATTTTTATTGAAAAAATTCAAATGAATTTTATCTAAAAAATTAATGTTAAACTCGAAAAACGACGTCAACTTCCCATTCACTCATAAATAGTTTTGACGTTCTGTCTTCACCGTGTGACTTGCCACGCGGCAAGGAACACTCCACCTCTACGGACCCACTCCAAAAAATGTTTAGGGCCCACTCAATTTTGGGCTCAAAGTCGGCCCAAAATAAGCCATATAAAACACCATTTTTCCAACACACCTCACTCTTGTAATGAAGAGGAAACAACCAAGTGAATTTGCTAAAATCATCAATGAATAACATATAGTATTTGTAAGGAGAAGCAGATTTATTAAAGGGACCCCATACATCACTGTGAATCAAAGCCAGTGGATTAGTTACAGTGGAATTAGACAATGTAAAAGGTAGCCTATGACATTTGGCTACAGAGCAATGTACACAAGAAAATGTGCTTTTATTGGAAGCTACAGACAAAGGTAATTTGTGTTTAAGCAAATGAAACTTAAGAGTAGAAGGATGGCCTAATCTCTGATGCCAAATGTCAGTAGAAGCAGCATAAGTAACTGAACTACTGTAGGCATGTAATGAAGCAGTGGTTGGAGTGTGGAATTGATATAGTCCATTGGCATAAAAACCTTTATGGAGGATGGCCTTGGAAAGGTTGTCCTGAATAGTAAAAGAAGAATGATCAAATGTGATAGAGCAGTTATTATCTTTAGCCAAGTGATGCACAGAGACAAGATTAGAGTTAATAGAAGGTACATGCAAAACTTTGTTTAGTTTGAAGGAATGGTGAGGAGTAGGTAGTATACCTTGACCTGTATGAGTGATAGGAAGGGAAGAGCCATTACCAATAGTGACTTGATTACCAGCAGTGTAAGGTTGAATGGAGTTAAGTTGATGAAGATCATTGGTGATATGATCAGAAGCAGCTGAGTCCAAAAACCAGGGAGAACAAGAACCATTGTCCTCAGTTAAAGAGGTAACATATGCCTTTGATTGCTGAGACTGATATGGCTGAGAGTGAGACTGATATGGCTTTGATTGCTGGGATGGAGACACTTGTGAAGACTGAAATTGAGTATCTAGTCTATGCCAACAGTCAAGAGCTATGTGATTAGCTTTACCACAGATTTGGCACACAATGCCAAATTGTCCTCTTCCTTGAGATCTGCCACGAGAGGATCTTCCTGAATAGAATCGAGTGCCTCTATGAGCACCTCTAGAATCACCACGAGAAGAACCTCTGTTTTGATGATAAGAGTTAAATCCTCTAGAAATATTAGAAGCAGCATGAGAGTCTGTCACAGTTGCATAAGCAACAGTTAGATTAGAACTGTGCTTTAATTTTCCTTCAATGTGAATAGGTTCTGAACAAAGTAGAGCAGAGAGATCCTCCATAGAAATGGACTCTGCACGAGTTCGAATAGCTACTTTAACTGCATCATATTCAGAAGGCAATCCATTCAATGTAAGAAGAACAATATCCTCATCTTCCACAAATGACGAAGCAACACGTAATTGATCAACAATACTTTTGATTTTGCTCAAATACACCTCCATTGAATCTGATTTCTTTGAAATAGAACTCAATTTGTTCTTTAACTGGTGGATATGAGACCTAGAGAGAGAGGTAAAACGTTTATCAAGAAATTGCCAGACCTGAGCACTGGTGTGAAGATGTAACACAGAAGTGAAAATCGCAGGAGAGAGAGTAGCAATGATGCAGCTGAGTAGATGCACATCAATCATCTTCCATTTAACAGCTTCTGGATTTGGAATTTCTATTCCGGCAGACTGTCGTATTGTGTCAACAGGACACTTCTTTGAGCCATCAACAATAGGGAGGAGATCTGTGGCTCGAAGTAGATTCTGTATTTGATTCTTCCAAATAACAAAATTTGAGCCATCCAGCTTCACTATTACAAGAGAACTGAGATTTGATAGTAGTAGATTGAGATTGGAAGGAATAGCAGAGGACTCCATAGATGAAGCTTGAGAATTGCTCGCGAGAGCTTCTTGGTGCTCTGATACCATGATGAAAGGTAAAGTAAACTAAGATACCTTTTTCAATTAAACTAAGAGATTACAAGTCATGTTTATATATCAGTACAGGTAACAAACTAACAAACTATTAACCTAACCACACTTCTAACTAACCACACATCATGTAACTATGTAACTAACTAAAGTTGTTACAAACTAACTCAAACAGTTAACAGCAGATTACATTACACTGAATGAACCTCATCTTGGACCTCTTGCTTATCAATTAGGATGTACCATTAATGGGCTTCATCTACGCCTAATCAAGTACTCTCACATGTGTTGGTTTTAAATGTAAAGTTGGCTTGCACAACATTGTTGTTATTAAACATGTCACTAACACATAATTCTTATTATTTTCTTTATAAAAATTCTTTATAATATTTAAATTTATTTATTTATTTACCTTATGTAAGGGTTTGGCTTTTTTTAAGTTCTCATCTTAATTTGGGAGAGCGTTTAGGCTTAGTAGACCCATTTTGAAACCGATTTCGGTGATTAGAATCGTTCATTTTTTTGGGCTTCTTGAATAGAATATCCAGGCAAAAAATAGGAAAATTGGATCGGTATCTATATGTTTAAATTATATTTGTTTAAAAAATGGACGACAAATATAATTTCAAGAATAGCTATTCATTTTTTGTAATACAAAATTGATTCAAACACATATAGTTACTGATATCTAATCATTTTTATTTTTTACATGAATATTCTACTCAACAAGTCTTAAAAAGTGAACGGTTCGAATTATTGAAACGAAATATGTGATTGACTCCACAAGCCCCTTTTGAAATGTAAACACGAGAGAAGCCTTATCCTTTATGTAACATATGAAGATTCAAACTTAAAGTTTAATGTCTGATCGACACCTACTTTTAGTGGGTTCCATCAATGCCGAATCAAGTCCTTACAAATGAATTAATTTTAAGAATAATGATTTGTCCCCCTAATTTCCTTCCCCCGAATCCCCCTAATTTCAGAAGAGAGAGAGAGAGAGAGAGAGAGAGAGAAGAGAAGAGAAGAGAGGGAAAAAGAGGAGTTCAGAAGAGAGGGAAGAGGAGGAGCTCGATCGTCGTCCTCTGATCGTCTCCGGCAGCCCCCGCCTCTGCCCGATCGTCGTCTCCGGCAGCCGCCGCCTCTGCCTCACCTCCGCCTCCTCCTCCCCGTGGTTATGGCCCCCTCCTGTTCTCCTCCTTCCTCCTCCTCCTCCTCTTTCCTTCTCTTCTCTTCTCCTTCTTCCTTCTTCTTCTCCCTCGTTTTTGATTGAACCAAGAAAAAAAAAAAAATGCAGAAACGACGTCGTTTCTGGGATTAAAGGGATTCGGGGGGACTTTTTTCGAGCGACGTAGCATTACCGTAATTTTAAATTGTGTAAAGTCTGCCTCTATATCATTAATCTTTTTAAAAAAGTGGTTGACATATATCATTCTAGCTTAATAATTTCTCTACAAAACTTCTCAAAGAATAAAATTTTTGTAATATTTGTTATGCAATATGTAGATATTCAAAAATAAATATGAATGTCACATGTATGTGATGTGCGGATAGACACATACCGCTCTAGTCAAATATGGGATGATGTTGACCCCATGCTGTTTAAGAGCGTCATAAGCCATTTCATTGACAGTGTTGTAAAGAGCTAGGAAGCATAACTTCATGTAGTCTGGAAGTGTTTCCACAACATTTGTATCCCATCTGTAAAGTAACATCATTACAGAAATGATATAAAATAAAAAGCAAAATAAAGCACAATATAAATATGAAGAATTCTTTTCTTTTCTTTTCTTTTCTTTTTTGTGTAATTTACCTCTCAACAGCAGCTGTGAACAGTTCTAGTTCATCCAACGATCCATAAACATCGTAGACATCATCAATCGTGGTGATCAAAGCGGTTACTTTCGTCAGCCCCTTTCGGCAGGAACTGAATTGAGGTTCAAAAGCCATACCGACAGTCCAAAAGAAGCATTCCATGAGTCTGTCCCTAGCAAAACTCAACTTGTTTGTCAAGCCTATATCCTCCCACCACCTGAAAAGACATTATCAACACTGACTGTTAAGTTAAACAAGGTTTCTGTATTAGTTTTCGTGTCTTCTTCTTCTTCTTTTTTTTTTTTTTTTGAGACAGGGCGGCTCAATACTTTTGTGGGTCTTAGGCAAAATTTTATAAGGATTTTTTTTTTTTTTTTTGTAAATAATAATCATTAACTTTTTATCTAAAATTTCCTTTTCTTGTATATTAATTTTTGTAATTAATATTGGTCTACCACCTCTATTATTCAGGGCTCTTTGATTGCATCAAATGCAAAGCAGAGTCTAATGGTATCTTCTCAGTAGCATGAAATCAACAGAATGGTTGAGGATTGGGATTTTGAACGGTCAAGGGGAAGATCTATATATTTTTTGGGAAGGGATATTGAATCTACCAGCATATCCTTCTTTGGTGTGTTAGAGTGTGGAGGTTATGGTCCAAAATCATAAAGTGATGGGGTATATGGTGTGGGTAGTATCAGGGTCTGTAAGTATATTGCTTGAATGGTGGCAGAGCTGGGGCTTTAAAAGGAGTCCGGATTCTCGGCCGCCCTTTCCGGCGGCCGTTTCATCAGCCCCCCAAAACGACGTCGTTTTGGGGGTTTTTTTGATTTTTTTTTTTTTTTTCTTTCTTCTTCTTCGTTTTTTTGACAGAACCAGAGGAGGGGAGGGAGAGAGAGAGAGGGAGGGGAGGGGAAGGAGAGAGAGGAAGGGAGAAGAAGAGGGAGCACCGGACTGGAGGGGGCCTAAATCACCGGGGGAGGAGGAGGAGGAGGCGGAGGCGGGCCGGACGCGGAGGCGACGGCAGATCGGGCGACGATCGACGGCTGGCGAGCTCGACGACCTGCGACGGCGAGCTCGACGACCTGCGGACCCCAAAATCCGGTGAGCTCCCTTCCCCTCCCCTCCCCTCCTCTCTGGTTCTGCGAAGAAGGAAAAAAAAAAAAAACCGAAAAAACCCCCAAAACTGCTGGGAACAGCCGCCCTGGGCGGCCGAGGACCCCCAAAACGACGTCGTTTTGGGGGGGCTGCTGGGAACTGCCGCCCAAAAGGGCGGCCGAGGATCCAAATTCCTTTAAAAGAGCCAAAATGGTTGTCTGGGATGTAATATTATTTGATGCCATGTGGTCAGTTTTGGGGGCTTGGAAACAAATTTGTGTTTGACAATTTGCAATCAAACTGGGAGGAACTTATTGAGGCCTCGTTTCGCTAGTGTCCTTTTTAGTCAAAAAGTCAAAAAATTACTAAAAAAAATTAAAAAGTCAACAACTCATATCAAAAAGTCAAAGATTTTCTTTTCTCTTTACTTTTTGCACATTTTTTCGAAAAAAATCAGAAAGTCATCCCAAAATACTAGTTTTTTTTACATCATATTTTAGCCAAAAAAATCAAAAAATTACTAAAAAAGTCAGTTCCCAAACGAGACCTGAGTAAATTAAATATAGGGTGATTCTTTGGGCCAGGATGAGACCAGAGTTGAGAAGCATATGGCAATGACAAACTCTACATTGCTTTGCAGGCAACAATTGTCGGTTTGCCTCTAGCTTTACATGAAGGTGCTGAAGGTGCTGATGTCTTCAGGTTTGATACTCTACTGGAGGAGGAAGGTGCAGGGCCGGCTCTGAGATTTGGGAGGTCTAAGGTGAATTTTGAAAATGGGGTTTTTCTTACATTGAAAAAAAAAAAGAGTTCATGGATAAAACGATAAGTTAAGACAACTTTTTTATTTGTTTGTAACCACAAAAAAAATTTACTTGTACATATAATCCTTAAAATTATAAATAAAAATTTACTTTCATATATTAAGATAGGAAACAATCATTACAAATACTCAAAAAAAATAAAAATCTAGTCTTGTTACTTTATAGTTTAGCAATATACAATTTACAATTGAACCACGATCAATTCAATTGGGCCTATAGTATTTGGGCTTTTTTTTCTTTTTTTTTATATCTAAAACACAAAATTATATTTAGGGGCCCCTTTTTTCTGCCCAAATTTGGGGGCCCAAGGCGCAGGCCTCTCTTGCCTGCCCTCAGGGCCGGCCCTGGGAAGGTGCAATGTTAAGGTGTTTTTTGACGGATGGTGCTGCTGTTGCTATTATCTTTTGCTTCTGTTTTGGCCATTTTTGCTTGTATTTGGTTGGATTCTCTCCAACTGATTCTAGTGTTTGCGCGGTGCTAGCACATGATAGGACTTTCTTTTCTATCCCAACCTAGTTGAGATAGATTTGTTTAGCTTTGATACTCTCTGCACTTTCCCTATGCTTTATGTTTGATTGCCTTAGATATGTAATTTCTTTGGTAGTCTCTAATAAAACGTTATCTTTTTGTTGATATAAAATATAAAAAAATAAAAACTTTCAACAATCATGATTTTTGTTAGGTGGTACATAATAAGGCTTATTTTTATATTTTAATTTTGGGTATGTTTCTGGTTTTTTTTATTTATTATGGCCACCAGAAATATTTTATTCTGTTTTATTATTAGGCCTTAAAAATAAAAAGAGTTTTATTTTCGTGGATCTTTGGACAAGGAAGCCCTTTCCTTTTTTGGATAGGCAATAAGATAGATTTGTTTTGTTGATCCTTTGAACAATGAAATTTTTTAATATTTTTTCTCGACTTTTAAACAAGATAGATTTTTTTTATTTATTTTTAAACAAAGTTCACAAAGGTAAGAAATTTGAAACCATATAAAACAAAAATGGGATCTTAGATGAATGCCTAAATGACCTAATTAAAGGGATGGTTGGCGTTGTTTGAGAATAGAACACAAAAAATGTAAATTTTATTTTTTCTTTTTTAACAAAAAACAAATATGACATTAAAAATGTTCTAAAAATTGCAATTGGATTTACCTTAACATTTGTTGGAGCTCTCGTTGGAGTTTAGATTGCACCATGTTGAAATCCAACTTGGCTAATTCAAGCAACAAGTGATTTGCATCTCTTCTCTCACTATATGCTTGAATGTACCACCTAGCTTCTAGCCTCAACATCCTATGGTGGAAAGGAAGCTCCAAAGCATGTTTTATTTGTTGCATAAGGGTTGTGTCAATATTTCCCTTTATGCCCTTGAGATGTTTGGTTGTAAATACTTTGGCCTCATCCAAGATATTTTCTCCATCAAAAGCAAGATGAGAAGCTTCATACAAACTGAGCAATCCCTTCACATCCTCACATAGCCCCTGTCTAAAGTTGCCATCATGGTCCTTGAATTTCTGAAAAACATCTGTGACAAGACCATTTCAAATAATATATACAGATATATGTGTGTGTGAAAAATGATATTAGTTTTATGGTGTGTTTGGTTGAGGGATTTGGGGAGGGATTTGGAAAGGGAAAGGGAAAAGGTGTGTGAAACTATGTGAAATATAGGTATGATTTATTCACATTTCACCTACCTTTTCCATTTTCCTTTCCAAATCCCTCTCCAAATTCCCAACCAAACACAGCATTAGTGAACTTGCAAAATACGTAAAATAGTTCGAGATGTATAAGAAATGTTTGAAGGCTTTTTTTAAGGCGTTTTCCTCCTTTCAGTGATAATACTTGTGCTATCATTAGCATGACCATATAAATGTAAGATGCTCTTCTTTTTCGTCACACACATTATTATATATGTTTGTTTTTATTCGCACTACAAAAAATTAAGATTTTAGATATCAAAATTTAGAAACAAAATTATTTTTTAGAAACAAAAAATATTTTTGTTGCGAAAAGTGTTGTCATTATATTTTTAGCAACGAAAATTAGACATTAGTGATGAATTATTATCTTTTTGGGACCAAATTTTTTGTCTCAAAAAATAAATCATTTTGAAACCAAATTATTTTGTCTTATTAGTAACATTTTCAAAATTGTCCTTAAAAGCCTTATTTTTGACTTTTTGGGACAACCTTTTAATAACTCACAATAATAGAAATTGATTTGTAAATGTCTTTTATAACAAAATGTTCACTTTTAGAGATCAAAAGATTTGCTCTCTAAAATTCTTACATATTGTAGTGTTGTAAAAATGACAATTTAAATTAGAATAATTTAAAATAGTTTTACTTTTTTAGAGATGGAAGTGAGTGTGTGTCAAATTCAAGTAAAAGTTACGATATGGGAAGCCGCTCTCACTTGCTCTCACCTGCGTCTCCATAAAAATATAATTATTTTAAATTATTTTTACTCAAATATATTTTCTTTTTTAATTTTTACATTTTTTTTTTTTTTGAGTAATTATAGTCAAACTTTCTTTTAATCTCTCATGCTTGTCTTTAAAAACAAAAAAGGAGACCTAGAAAATAAATGAGGACAAATTACATTTTACGGCTTTTATTTTGGTTATTTTTCTACTCTTCATGCTTGTCTTTATTTTGACTCGTTTCGACTCTTCATATTTCAAGTTTTTTCTAGTTTGCTCCTAAAACAAATTTAAGTTAAAAATTAGACAGAAAATGATACATGGACAATTACGTGGCATTAAAATTATTTATTATATATAACTCACACATTTAATACAAATTTAAACCCCACTATAATAATATTATTTTTTATGTTATGTGACAGTTATTGTGACATTTTCTGTCTAATTTTGAATAAAAATTAACTTTAGGAGTTATCTAGAAAAAATATGAAACATAAAGGATCAAAGTATAAAAAAAAAACAATAAAAATAAATAAATAAAAATTTTAAAGACCAAAATGAGAAAGTCGTCAAACTTAAAGGGACCAAGTATAATTTACCCAATAAATAAATGAAGGCAAAGTTGATATTGATAGAGAAAAAAAAAAGGGAAATAAATAGAGTTTTGAGTCTTCATCTCTCTCTGGTTTCAACCTCTACTATACAATATTCAATGTAAAAAACACCGAAACTCCTATTGACTCTCTCTTTTGTGAAAATAGAACAAGTCTCAGAGTTGATAACACTTGTCATTGCATCATGGCACAATCTTTCTGCAATAGTGACTACTCCCAAAATATGCTTTCTTGAAAAAAATAAAATAAAAAAGGGACTTACCTTGAGAGACCTCAAAACCATGTTGTCGACAGAGCCTGAAGTAGAGGGTAGTGGCATGAACACCCTTCTCTAATCTAACATTAGTTCCTTGGACAAACATTATTCTATTAAGTGCTCTTCTAATATCCTCCTCAAAGTGATAGCTCAACCCCAACCGTTGGATGTCATCTATGAGTTCAAGTATTGTTGATGGATTAACATCTTCATCCCCAATCATAGCCCTTACCTCCTCCTTTAATTTCTTTGCCCTCTGCTCATGTATTTCATCCTATTAATACAAATATAGAGAGTGATGAGAAGTGGATTCATTAACATTAAACTGGATTCAGTAACATCAATAATAGTGATGCTAATTTCAAAACTATAAACCCCATCCATTATACAAACCATAAAGATTCAAAACCAATAAAACTATACCATATCAACTATTAGCACACTAATTAGTATACCTATTGATGTGTATAGCTTTTTTCAATTAATAATCAGTGATGATTTTACAACAGAAAATAAATTTTATATGTTTGAATTATGTAGTAAAGATTGGCCACAAATGAAATGAGCTTTTAGTGTTGTGAAGTAATCTTGCTTCACTATAATAAAATAAAATAATTTCCACCGACCTAAGAGTAGAAGTATGGAGGCTAAGGCTGAAATCAAGATTTTCAAAGATGGTTGGCTGCCACCGTTTGAACTTTATTGCCTTAGCTGTATTTGCATTTAGTGGTTTTACATTGTCTAGTTTATCTATAAATAGCTAATGTATCAAAATGATAAGTGTGTAGGAGAAAGAAAATAAAAGAGAGAATATTGTAGTTTATGCTCTGTTTCTTTTTCAGAATTATTTGAGTGAATTTAAGTAAAGTTTGGTTCAATGTTAATCCTCTCATTGTGAATCACCAATAGTGGTTTGCACCCCACTCCCACCAATAGTGGTATCAGAGCCGAAGGTAGCTTGAATTTGCAGACATTCTGCAAAATTTTCAAGAACGGAGTGTCGTTTCAAAATTTGCTCAGAAATCAAAGTTGTTGAATTTCATTTTTGATCACATCAGTGTGTAGGTGTCATCGAGACAACCACACTGGAAAAAAAAAACGCCAAAAACCAAGCCTCACAACGCCTACACGCACTCCACGCGCCTCATGACGCCGTCGCCACGCGCATTCTTCGCCCGGAGTTGCAGGTTTTAACCTGTCTGGCACACGATTCAATCCATTAGCCCGGATCTGGATCCAAGAGCTGACGTCATCGCCAATGTCACTGCTGACATCACTCCGAGCCAAGCCACACGCCGAGCCGCCGAGCCGAGGCACAAGTCGAGCCGCGCCGCCAAGCCGTAGACCAAGCCGAGCCGCCAAGCCGCTGATGTCACGCTAACGTCATCCGATCCGAAAAAATTATCCGGTGCTTCTCAGAAGTTCCAGATTCTGCCGATCTAAGCTGTTCAATTATTTTTGCTAGATCTGAGCCGTTTAAAGTCCGTTTTTGGTGATCCAATAGTGTTTTTCAACTATTTGGAGTATTCCGGACACATCTGTATGGTTAGAATTTGAAAATTACATACTGAAAAATTGCAAATTTTTTAAAGTTAACCAATGGCCAGCACAAACAACTACTTTCAGCCCCAGTTTCCAAAACTCAGCAAGGCGAACTATGAAAATTGAAGAATTCAAATGCAAGTCCTACTAGCCTCACAAGATTTGTGGGAGTTAGTGGATCAAGGATATGACGAGCCAGCTTCTCTCAAAGATTAAGGAAATTTAAATGAAGCTCAGAAGGCGGCATTAAAAGATTCAAGGAAGAAAGATAAAAAGGCCTTGCATCTACTTTATTAAGGCATTGATGAGTCAAGCTTTGAGAAGATTTTAGCAGCAGTAACTTCTAAAGTGGCATTGAGTATTCTTTACAATTCACACAGTGCAATTGAGAAGACGATCAGAGTTCGACTCCAGGTGTTACGTGGCGAATTCGAGATGCTGTACATGAATGAAAATAAGTCAATTTCTGAGTACTTTAACAGAACATTGACCGTTGTTAATCAGATGAGAAAATATGGAGAGAAGATGGAATCTCTTCAAATGATAGAGAAGATTCTACGATCACTCAGTCCCAAGTTCGAGCACGTGGTTGTAGCAATAGAAGAGGCTAAGGATCTTAGTGCCATGACCAAGGATGAGTTAATGGGCACACTTGAGATTCATGAACAAAGGATCAACAAGAAGACTCTCTTAGAGCGAGCTCTTCAATCAAAGCTGTCTTTCAGAGATGACAGAAACGAACAAAGGGGGACATCACAAAGAAGCAAAGGAAGAGGTCATAGTTACAATAACCGAAGTTTTGGTTTTCGAGGAAAAGACGGAAGAGGTCCAGCCAGAGGAGGAAGAAGTCAACTACACTTTGCTCCAAAATGAAGAGCAAGAGGAAGATGAGGTGGTTACAACAACCGACCAGGATTTGACAAAAGCAATGTTCGGTGTTACCATTGTCACAAGTTTGGGCATTACAACAATGAATGCCGAAGTAGAGCAACAACAGAAACCGGAAAGCAAGCGAATTTTGCCGAGCAGGAAACAAACAAAGTTGGACCTACAGTCATGTTTGTCCACCATGGAGACACTGAAAGCCAAAACAATGTTTGGTATCTAGATTTGGGAGCCAGTAATCATATGTATGGTAAAAGAGAGTTGTTCGTCGAGCTTCACAAGACTGTACAAGCACAAGTCTCATTTGGTGATTCTTCAAAGACTCAAGTGAAAGAAAGATGCAATATTCTGATCAAGCTCAAGAATGGAGATCATGATTACATCTCCAATGTTTATTATGTTTTTTCCATGAAGAACAACATTTTGAGTATGGGACAACTCTTAGAGAAAGGATAGGACATCAGCATGAAAGATTCTCATCTAACCATCAAAGACAATCATGGTAATTTGATCGCTTGGATGAGAATGTCCAAGAATCGGATGTTTGCATTGAACATCCAACATGATGCTGTGAAGTGTTTAAGTGCCATCATCAAAGACAAAGATTGGCTATGGCATTTGAGGTTTGGACATCTCAACTTTGGAAGCTTGAAGGTGTTGTCAAGCAAGAATATGGTGAAAGGGCTCCCTCATATTGCTCATACTAATGAGGTCTGTGAAAGCTGCATTCTTGGCAAGCATCACAGAACTAGCTTTGCCAAAGAAGTGAAGTAGAGAGCAACAAAGCCGTTGGAGCTACTGCACACTGATGTGTGTGGTCGATTGAAGCCAATGTCAAATGGACATAATAGATATTTTCTCACCTTCATTGATGATTATAGCCGGAAGACATGGGTGTATTTTCTTAAAAGAAAGTCGGAGGTGTTCAATATCTTCAAAGAATTCAAAGTTTTTGTCGAAAAGCAAAGTGGCTACTACATCAAGACATTGCGGTTAGATCAAGGTGGAGAGTATACATCAGATGTTTTTGAGAATTATTGCAAAGAGCATGGAATCAAGCATCAAACAACACCATCCTATACGCCACAACTGAATGGTGTTGTTGAAAAGAAGAATCGCACAATCTTAGATATGGCAAGGAGTATGTTGAAAGGAAAAGGATTGCCCAAGCAATTTTGGGCTAAAGCCGTATCCTGTGCTGTGTATCTACTAAATAGATGCCCAATCAGGAGCCTTCACTCTATGACTCCAGAAGAAGCTTGGAGTTCACATAAGCCAAGTGTCAACCATCTCAGAATATTTGGATGTGTTGCGTACACCAAGATTCTAGAAGCAAGAAGAACCAAGCTCGATGATAAGGGAGAAAAATGTATCCTTGTCGGATATGGAGACAGAATAATGGGATACAAGTTGTATAATCCCATTACCAGAAAAGTGATCATGAGTAAAGATGTGATATTTGAAGAAGAAGAAGATTGGAACTGGAATCAAGATGAAGTTGTTAAAGATGCAGAACTCATTCTTGAAGATGAAACATCAAAAGCTCCTGTTGAAATCACAAGAGAAATTCAAGATGAGCCACAAACTCCTCTACATAGAATACCGGTACCTAGATTGCCAGTTTCTCACTGAAGTGATGCATCATCATCATCATCATCATCAGATGATAGTTTTTTCAAACAACCAAGACCAATGAGAAATTTGCAAGAGATATATGAAGCTATAGAAGAAGTAGATCTGAATTTGTTCTGCCTACTTGCAGATAGTGATTCACTTACTTTCTCAGAAGCCATCCAAGAAGATAAATGGAAGAAAGCAATGGATGAAGAAATTCATGCTATTAAGAAAAATGACACGTGGAAGCTTAGTAGTCTACTGGATGGGCACAAACCCATTGGAGTGAAATGGGTATACAAGACAAAGAGGAATGCACAAGGCGAAGTGTAACACTATAAGGCAAGATTAGTGGCAAAAGGTTATAAGCAGAGAGCTGGAATTGATTATGGAGAGGTGTTTGCTCCAGTTGCCCGGTTGAAGACTATCAGGCTAATGATTTCTTTGGCTGCCCAGCACAAGTGGCAAATCTACCAACTTGATGTGAAATTTGCATTTCTTAATGGTTTTCTTGAAGAAGAAATCTATATTGAACAACCTTCGGGGTACGTTCAGAATGGGCATGAAGACAAAGTGTACAAATTGAAGAAAGCACTTTATGGATTGAAGCAAGCTCCGCGTGCATGGAATACTAGAATTGATCAATATTTTCATGACAATGGTTTTGAAAAATGCCCATATGAGCACGCACTCTATTTGAATAAGGAAGCTAATGAAAGCGTGTTGCTTGCTTGTCTTTATGTTGATGATCTAATTTTCACTGAAAACAATCCAGTCATGTTCAAAGAATTTAAAAAAAAGCATGGTCCAAGAATTTGAAATGACAGATATTAGATTGATGGCTCATTTTCTTGGCATTGAAGTGGCACAAAGAAAAGATGGAATTTTTATTTGCTAAAGTGGCTATGCTAAGGAGATTCTCAAGAGATATGGAATGAAGAGTTGCAATCCAGTGAACACTCCTGTAGACAGTGGAGTGGAGCTCAAAAAATGTACAAAGGCAGGTGATGTGGATCCAACTTATTTCAATAGCTTAGTTAGAAGTCTTCGCTATCTTACTTGCACCAGGCCAAACATACTCTATGGAGTAGGACTGATTAGCAGATATATAGAAACACCGGATCAATCACATCTTTATGCAGCAAAGAGGATTCTTCGCCACATCAAAGGTATAGTCGATGATGGTTTATTCTATAAACCAACTAATAATTTCAGTCTTGTTGGCTATTTAGC